TTGCTTTTGATTTAGAATTTGTCACATTTGCGCACAAATGTGTATAATTTCTTCAGAGGATTACCTTAAAAAAGTTTTTGTGAAAAGTTAAAAAAAATAAATTCATAATAACGATGAAGCTTTTTGGGAAGGGTGCAAGCTCAGTGAGCGGGGGTGGCTAATAGGTTCTCTCGCCTTGGGCACTGTTAAACCTAGAGCTGGGCTTGAAGGTAGGTGCTTAGGTATTCTCTATCTGCTCGTTTCAGATGAAAGTGACGGACTATTGAGGATTTCTCAGAGATGCGTGCATAAAGTGAAATACCACTATAAACATGGTTTTGGTGAAGGGGCACCATTATAGCATAGTTAAACAGTCTAAGAAGTGGATTTCATAGGCCATCTAAATCACTTTGTGTCAATGAAGAAGAACATACCTCAATACCTTTTTTATTTTGCATTTAGCTTTCTCAAAGGTAAAGGATCTTTACTGTGTATATGTGAATATTTTCTATCTCTACATCTTTTACTCCTGTTTGTCCTTGAATTTTTTCTCCTATTTTTCTTTTCTTTTATCCAACATTTCAGTTCACAGCTGAGTTTCTATGGAGACCAGGATACAAACAAAGGGAAAAGGAAAAAAGAGAAATGTGGCTGTCAGGAGACACTCTATGGTTGAAGCTGAAAGAGTAAGGTCACAGGGTGCATTATTCATTTCTGTTTTCCATGCTTTGTTCTCACAGCCTCACAGTGGTTTGAGCAAAAAATCCACCATGCAATTACCAGCGCCTTGTTTACAAATACTAAAAAACTAAACTAGAAAAAAAACCCTCAAACAATAATGTTCTCAAACTCTCCAGATAAACAATCACCTACGGCTGCATGGGGATGAGTGACTGTCTGATGTTTCATGTGTTGACAAGGGTTAAGAAACTCGCTGGCGATAATACAGACCTTTCAGGCACTCCATCACGTGATAATTACATTACATTGGTTCTCCATTGCTTCCCCTCGCTCCAACTAATCTCTTTAGTGTCCAAGTGATTGGGATCGCCGTGACAGAGAGTAATGACAACCAGTCACCTGCTGTGGAGCTGAGTCCTCTCAGCTCTCCTCGTGTCTGACTGGAGGTTTTGAAGTGCACTAAGCCTCTGTCAGGTAACCATGGAAGTGCAAAGACTTGAGCAAAAGATGCTCAAAGACACTACTAGTACCCAAGGTGCTGATTTTAGATTGTCTTTTCGAATTTTTGTGAGCAATGGATAGCTTCTTTCAAAACTTGTGTTTTTATATTTTATCTTATTGAAATACTATTAAAATGAAACTAAGCGTATTCCTCTCTATGATTCCACTTTATAAAAGATGATAAATATTTTCATATATATATATTCCTAAAGTACAGAATATGAGATTAAGTTGCTATGCTGCCCTCTAGTGTTCCTTATTGAGCACAGCATAAAAATTGCCATAACTGGGGGGGGTTATGCTATACATGTTTGTTTGTTTATTGATCTAAGAAAACATCACCATAAATATGTCACATTATCTTTGTGGCTTTGCTTTGCTAGACTAAAAGGTGAAGTAATTACCGGACTGAGTCTTGACTTGACAGCTAGTTTAATTAAAATAGGTCTGCCCTGAAGCTGCTGGCCGCCTGGCACAGCAGTCTGAGTAGAGGAAACCAGAATTCATTTTTCATTACAAGGGCTGACTGACATATTGCGTAATAGCCATTTATACGAGCAGCTCAGCACCAGTCAGACCTCAATGGTAACTGAGGGAGGTTTTGTATAATGAAAGGATCATACAAAAGAAAATTAAAATCATATAAAATGTACTTTGGTTGTAGATTTGTTAATTGATATCAGCTGTCCTTTATGGGGGAACACTCTCCCCCCAACAAGATAATTCTGCGTCTTTTGGTGTGTTTTACATCAAAAGTCAAAATGAATTCTTGTTTAGTCTAAAAACAAAAATTTAAGAGTCTTCACTGAAGACCTTTTGATATAAATTCAGGTTCTCAGCTTTGCTCCTTAAATCTATCTAATGTGGAAAAATAATCTTTATTAAACTTAATCTTTATATCTTTTTTCTATTTTTGTATTTTCTTTTTTGCATCCTTGGCTTATTAGCTCATTGTTTGATCTTGGTTTGTTTTTGTTTATTCTTTTTCTAAGCATTATGAAACAATTTTGATGCCCTGAATGTGTAAAAAAACAACAACAAAAAAACACCTGCTCTCTGTGTACTATTTTCAAACTGAACTTAGTGAAATTTGATTGATCACAAGTTACACCAGTTTTTGAAAATTAGAAAAGAAAATACTCACATTAGAATTTATGAACAAAAACAAAAAGCTAAAATCAATTGATCAATTTTAATTAAAAAACATAATTCTGCATTAAAATTAGATTTGCTTTTGTCTGACAGAATGATAAAACACTTGTGAGAATAAGTATTCCCCATCTGATGGGCCTCAGGTCCTTTTGACCCTGGGGACCAATTTCAGTGGTACACAGCACATGGTGCTCTGCTGAATGAGCAACCCACCCCACCTTAAACCCCCTCCTGCCCCACCAGTGTAAGAGTAGGGGGGACAAGATGAAGGGATTTAAGGCTTGGTTGCCTGGGAAACCAATAATGCCATCTGTCATGAATCTTGATCCACATCATGTAGCTGAGACATTGTTTTAATTTAATCATATTCTCAAGGCAAGCCAGGCTTCTTGGTAAAACACTTATAGTTATCTGGAAAGTTATACATTTATTTCCTGAAAATATAATAAAACCTTATCACTTAAAGGAAGTGAAATCCCTAAGAAATGTCTTTCAGGCTTTTTCAGGCTTTACAGTAGTTATGATCAAGTCTGCATTCCAGGTGCCGAGGGACTGTTTATTTACCCTGTAAATGCTTCTGAGCCATTGTTAAAATGACTTTAACAGTCCTTTTAAATGTCATCAGTGTCTCTACGATACCAAACCTGTTTCTAAGGCAGGGCAAGACTTCAAAAAAGAATCAGGATGTGATCTGGGCTGGGTGAGATTACTGTCTAGTAAATGTTTGTAAAAATCATGAGATGAAGAAGAGTAAACAATGCATTTTAATTAATTTTTTTTAAATGTTTACAACAGTATTGCACAGATGAATACTAACCAGAGAAAGGACAGAAAGGTCAGAGAGTGGTGTTCTGAGGGAGGAACTGAGGACGGTCTGTTGGAGGTGGAGGACATGTCCCCAGAGAGAGAACGCAAATTAAACTGCAGGCATACTTTGGACAGAAAATAATACGGTGTGAATATATTGGTGTTAATTTTGTAGCCCACCACCTACTATATATATCTGATTGATATAACACATGGTCATGATAAAGTTCTAATCTAAACAGAGTCAGAGAAGAATGTAAGTGTATCTAGTTTTGGCTCTAACACTGATACCAAAGCTGCTTTTTAAGCTGTCCAGCATGGAAGATGTGTTAACACAATTTTAGTGTTCTAAAACTGGCATCAATTTCATACAAACATAAATGGTTTTAGTTAGTGTTGCACCAATACCAATACCAGTATTGGGCAGGGCCCCGATACTGCACTAAAATGGTGGTATCGGTATTGGTGAGTACCTACACATTGGGCACCAATACCATTTTCAGAGCCAAAAGTTTATTCAACTATTGTCACCCATTACAAGTAAGCAATAAAAAGTTATACTGGATTCACTTTGTATTAGTCTATTTCCTGCATCATAAAGTTAGGCAGCAGCTTGACAAAGCCATGATGGCAATTATTTTACATCCATGTAGTATGCAGTTCTTCATATATACACATACACATAAATTTCAAACAGATGGTATTGGTATGGTATCTGTATCGGCCAATACTGCATGGCCAGATATCGAGTATTGGTATCGGGGCCAAAAAATGGCATCAGCACAACATTAGTTGTAATGGAAATAAGGGGTTTAACAGTATCCTGTTTTACAACATTTTGTATTACAAGTGTTACAAACCAAATGCACCAAAAAGAGTTCATTTTTACTTTCTTGATTAAATTATACATTCATCCTTAAATGCAGTTAAACGCAGACCCTCAGCTGGTCCCCATAAATGAGCTTTAGACATAATTCTGGTTGGATATATGACCAGTGAAAGAAATGCTATAACTGGTTAACAATATTTAAAAGTTTAACAATAAGACAAGGATCAGCCCTCCAATTCTTAATAAGTATTCAGCAGGGATTGCAGAAATATCTTGTTGATAATAACAAGCAGTAGCTTTTCAGTAAAGTTGTATTAAATTATTTACTGAAATGTATGCAAATATTTCAATTGCATGTAGAATGTTGAATGTATAACAGAAAAAAATAATCATGTAGCTGTTTTCTTAGTGTGAAAGTTTTCTCATTTGTCCTTCCATCCTATAAGGAAAACAAAAATCTCTAAAATCCTGAAAATAATATAAATTTAATGCCAATAAGTACCTCTTAACTTTTCATTGACACGGTATGTGTTTTCTTTCCTGCTAAATACCTCCTGCATAAATATTCTCTCAGCACTAATTATGTTCAACAAATACTGCCTGCATAATTTTCAGTTAGCTTAATTTTGCTGTGGGGTTTGAATTTGCTTTGCAATTCATGTGAGAATACTTATAACTAAAAGTACAATTGTGTTTTGTTTGAGATGTTATCTCACAGCCAAAAGCCTCAACATGAAAGTCTGTGGATAATTTATTGTAAGGGCTTAAACGAAACTGCTGGAGGAGTAAAAATAACAAAAAAAATCATGAGGAAATAGAGATAATTAATAGGAATAAACATGCAGAGTTTTAAGAAGCTCGCTCTTATGCTCCTGCTTTAAAAAACTTGAAAATAAAACATCATTAAAAATCTTAGCAGATAAAAAACACTGATAGTATTGCCAGTTTAGGTTCTTGTTCATCTGATCTCACTTTGTAATGTGACACCAGAAAGTTGCAGGCGTGTGCATAAAGTCGTGTTTTAACTCTTCCCCTGTTTCACTCATTCTCAGATGGCTAGACTGAGGCAGATGAACATCTGGTTCGAGGTCATATGTGCTTGTGAGTGTGGGGACAATTAGCTGTAGAAGAAACGAAGCACTTCTTTGAAAAGGTGTGGGAGTTTGGCAAGTATATTCTTTTTATTTCAACCCTTACATAGTTAAACCTACATAAACAGTGTATTAATAAAACCCCTTTAACTGCTTAAACAGCTGGATCTAAATTCAGTATTTATTAAACGCTCATTTTATTTTAACACTTAAATGGAAGCCTACTTGTATAAAACCCTTCAATATACTGTAGTTATCTAGAAAGTTTAAATTGTATTTTTGATGTAGTTATTCTGATTTTTGCACAATTCTGTTTTTAACATATAGTAATCAATCAACTTTGACACTATTTATCATGTCAACATTAGGAAGTGAAAGCAGTAAGATTATCTTGATATATAGTTTTGTTCTGTTTTTTAGTTATAAATGCTGTTTTTTATTTTTTTAACAAATTCAAGTTTAAAATTTATAACTTTTTCTTGTATGTCAAGGCAAGGCAGCATGAAATAGAGCTCTTCCATCTCTAAAGATATGGAGTTTATGTCCCCTCAAGTTTCATAACTTTTTCTTTATCCCCAAACTCTTGAGATATAAAGTGATACAGTTTTAACAGCTGAAAGATATACTATAATTTGAAAGACAAATACATTAAAAGTTATTAATCTTATTTATTTAGACGAATGGTAAAAAGCATTTCTGATCTAACCGCTAAGATCTGGTGTTTAACTAAAGACAAAAACATGGTGGAACCTTTCGGTTTTAATAGTTAACACTGGCTGCACTATGACAGTGTATATGAAAAAATTCCTTTTGCTTCTCCATCCTAAATAAACATTATTTAGCTGTATCTATGCCACGTTTGGTGGCTAAAACTGTTAGCTGGTTGTGAAAGAGCTTTTTGCCAAATACAAGCTCTGGTTTTATTCCCAGTGGAAGCAAGTGTCAACGATGTGTTGAACAACATATTTGCTCAGACCATAAATCACCTTCACGTTTTCCTAATATAGCTACAGTACAACACTTCTGCAGCTTTTTAAGACATTGATTAATCTCAGATTGTGTGCCGTTTCAACTGATTCCAACTAAATGCTGTGAAAATTCTTAAAAGGGCAATTAGGAGCTCAGAGATACTACTGGAGAAAATCCGTTTAGCAAACATTCAAGGTTGGCGAAATTAAATGAGGTGGAATAGAAACATGACTCATGCATGGACTTGTGGGTGTGTGTGCGTGTGTGTGGGTGTGTGTGCTGACAGAATCTACACTTAGTTCTGCAGGAGTATAAAGGCTGCTAGTGTCTGAGAAGTGAACCTTTTGTTGACCTCCGTCTGGTCTTCCCAGTAGAGCTGTCCTGTAACAGAGGCGTGAATCTTGCACCTGGATGCGTTCTTAGAGGGGGCTCTCGTGGTCTTTGGGTCAACCAATAAAACCAACCTAAACCCCCCCCCTTTGTAAGCCTTTGGCTTACAAAGGCTCTTTTTAACCATGTAATCTAAAATAAAAATTTTATTTAAATATTTAAAATCAGTGGCATTTCAAAGCTTGACATTGAATTTAATACATACAAGAAGTGGGATTTTTTTTTTTTTACTCATCATTTCTGATTAAAATGTTGCACCAACTCAGCAGTAGTTGCTCTCGTAAGAAACAGAAAATTAAACCTCTTCTGCCTAAATGTGAAATATTGTGTATTGCACATCACCCTGAACATGGAGACATGTAGGGGTGCTTAAAGTATTATGATGGCCTATAGAAGGGGGTTCTTTTCAACTGGACCGGGCAAGATTTCTAATATCTTTGTACAGATTAGGCATTCTTCTTTTTGCTTTGTACAGTTTTCAGGTTAAATATATGGATGCAATGAGATTCCAAGGTGTGCCAGAGCCTGTTTCACTGTAGGCATCATAATAGTGCTACTGTAGGAAGTAAATGTTTGTCCAACAGCAGACTGCTTTCACGCTAGAGTAGACTGTAAATAAAAAATCTAAGTGATCAAAGTTTCCCTGAGCTTGGCAATACTATATGCTATAAATCAAAACCAAAGCTATCTTGAGATAGGTTGGATACTGAGAACCTTTTAAAAAACATTATATTTTTTTTAACTTTTAAACACCCTTGATGCCCATAAAGATACTGGCTAATGTCTTTCCGAACAGGGTTACCTTTGTTTCAGTCTGTCTTTGCTCACTGTGAGACTAGTCCTTATTCGTATTTGCATCAATCCTATTTTATTTGACTACCAAAATAAGCAAGGGATGCTTTGAATGTTACTATTACTAGGAACTAGAGGGTAAAGTCACGATAGCTTTCACATAAAATTTCACAAAATGTTTTTTTTGTGGCCACCACAGATGCATCTTGATAATCACCTTCAAAACCACAGCAGACCGGTCCTCCAGACTATACCACAAAGAAAAAGTATTTGTTATCAGACATACAGCATGTAAGACGTGTATCTATCCACAGTTAGGGGTTCAAATAGGAGTAGCTCACTTCAATGTAGTTTTACTGAAGAACAAGTCAAATTTAGGTAGAAAAGAAATACAAAAATCATAGTATTTAGAAAAACGCCACTTGAACACAACTTTTGATTTGATTTGTGAAAATAATGTTTTCTCTATAAAGTCACATGCAAATGTAATCTGTTCATACTTTTTCCCTTTAAAGGGATTGTTGTCTTAAATATGTTTTAGAACATATTTAGATTTGACTTAGTTTCGAAAACATAAAAGAAAAAAAAAAAAATTGTTCCACCACTCAAGTGTTACGTTTCGATCATGGGTTATGTGGAAATGAAAAATGAAAGCGGGCCGTTTGTTTGTTCTGTCTAAATTCAAATAACACCTGTGACTTGCTGTTTGTGTTGTCACCTTAATTCTAGTTGGTTAGTCAGAGTATTGTTGATAGTAAGAGCATGTCTCTGCAAGGGGCCAAGCTTTATGAGGGAGTTTGCTCTGGGAACAGAATAAATGAGCCATGTAGCAGTACCAGGAGACTGGCTCTGGGTAATGGCTGTACATCTTATTAAACACAACCTGTCTACAGTCAGTCAGTTTAATCCCTTTGATTTATGGATGTCTGTAGTATTGTTTGGTTAGAAATACAAAGTGTGTGCATCAAAGACTATGTTGCAGCCAAAGTGTGGTAGGCTTTAGCACATTGTTTTTGTTGGCTCAGTGTGTCTACCACAGTGGTAGCACACTAAAGATCCCTCTGTTTCAATCTTGATTATGATAACCCTTGCAAACCACTATTTTATCTGTTAGGGGGGGATTGGGAGCAAATATTCACTTGACTCAATGATGCACTGATTTCAATTTGGATATGCCAAATTTATCTTGGCCATTAGAAACTTACACCCAATACCTTATTATTTAGCAAAAATGTTCTTTATGATTTTCAATTCTTTGCTTTATTGTTTTATTAAATGCGGAATCATCCCTTAGTCGCATCAAAATATTGAGTATTGATTACTCTCCTACAGTTCTTTGCTAAAGTATTCATAGCCCTTTAGACTACTTGACATTTTCCCACACTTCAAATGTTCTACCAAGCACTGTTCAGTAAAATCATGAATGTCTCTTTAAGAGAGCAACAAACCTACCAAGAACTGACCGTCATTTGAAACTGAGTACAAGGAGGGCATAGATAAGAAAAGCTGCTAAGAGGACCATTGTAGACCTTAAAAAGCACCTAATATCCATAGCTTTGTTCACAACAGAACTATTCTGCTTGCATTCTTTAAAGAGGCATTACAGAGTTTTCTTATGATGCTCCCACCTCTGGCCAAAACATGAACTTCAGCCCCCCTCCCCTTCGTTCTTGTTGCTCGCACTGGTACTTGACAAGTTTTTGTTGCTGTTTTTTTACTTTTTTCACCTTGCATAGAGTTCCCATTGGTATCTGAGTTGAGCTGGATGCTGGTTACTTCTGAGTATTTACAAAGTCCATCTTAAATATAATGTCTACATTGTTCCCTACGTCAGATCCATAGAAGTATCAGAACTCATATTTGCAGTATCAAACTTTGTTTTGATCAATTTCAGCAGCAAGGGTAAAAGGTTTTAAATCTTAGCATAGATTCTTTCTGCATGGAGTTTGCATAACCTCTGTCTGCATGCATTGGCTCTCTCTGGGAACTCTAACTACCTTCCACAAGTTCATTTGTGTCCATAAACTGTTTTTAGATATGTACATGTGCATACATGGGTGTGTTAATCTTGCCCTTTGATCGACTAAAAAGTATCCCATAGTCTTTGATCCCTTTGATGGCCTGGCAACCTATTCAAGTTTAACCCTGTTTCCTACTGAACAAGTGTCAGACAGCAGCTTTCATGTGACCCTGCATGGATAGGTTGGTATAGACAATCGATTTCGGAAATCACTTCCTAAAACCAATGACACTGAATTGGTAATAGAACATTAGTGTTTGATATTGGTTATAATTACTCAATAACTCATTCTTTTGGACCACAAAGAGCATGGCTTCACTCACAAGTGTAGGCCTATTTAAACAAAACAAATCCATTCCACATTATAAAAGGTTCATATATTCAAACACAAGTATGAAACTGTATTGTTTAATAGTACTTTCCCCAAGTTAGCCACAAGACAAGATCTTTGCAATGACTTACTGTACGCAATAGGACAAGTCAAAATGATAATCACCTCACAGATGAATGAATGAATGAATGAATTCACCGTTATTGTCATTACACTGTCACACATACAAAGCAATAAATTGAACTCTTTGCATTTAATCCATCCCCTTTTAAAGCAGTGGGCTGCCATCGTGGGGCGCCCAGGGTGCAGTGTGGGATTAAGGGTCTTGCTCAGGAACCCAGAGTGGCAGTCCGTAGGAGTGGGGCTTAAACTCCGAACCTCTGGGACCCAAGAGCAATGCCCTGAGCACCAGGCCGCCCCTCTTCCTAGGCAAAGACACTGCTGGGATAGGGGGGAGTTAATGTACAAACGCCGATATATTTTAAGCTTTTTTTTTCTCTTGGAGGCTCTGTTCTACTTCTGACAGGATGACGTTGAAGTTTTCCCTATCAAACAAGGAAAATATATTTGTTTACCTATACATTTGTATACTCAACAAAATTAGGTACTTAAATTAATATCTGGACAGTTATTCCTGGTGCCTCTTAGACCACATGCAAAATCAGTTCAGCGGGTGAATGTTTTCTGTGTATGTTATTTTGGGATCTAACCAATGGAACTACTATTATACTAAATTGATTTAGTTTTTAGTGGAAGCTTTGAATGATATACAAGCATAACGTTTATTCAATTTTAATGGATTTAGGATATCCATCACTCATTAACTGCAAACAGAATGCACAAAAAATGCATTTAAAAAATCAGATGGTTTTAGTTTTACTTGTTACACATTTGTGCATTAAAATACATCACTTATATTTGCAGAAGCATGCCAAGTGAAATAGAAAGGATGACTACAACCAGCCTTGATGACCCTCAAAGTCCGAGAAATCTAACTGGATTGGCTGTGAGTTCCCCCCTCTCTCAGAAGTACAGACCCTCAGGGCCAAGCCTATCATGTCTACAGGAGTACAACCAGTGGTTACCTATCCGCCATGACGCCAGCCTCTTCTCCATGAAAGAAGATCTAGCTCTCTGGCTAAACTCCATCATGGGTGAGAAATCTCTATGTTGCAACTGAGTACATGCTCTTCTTACAACTAGCTGAATGAGCTGAATGCTTCTTTCAAGAAAAACAATGCAGTTTTTCCACTGGGCAGAGCCATAATTGACCAAAACTTAAAGTTCTTTACAACTGCTTAAAATGGAAAGAAAAACATAGTTTTTCTTTTACTGAACAGTCACAGGTGTTTTCCAATCTAGAAACCTAAAGATGTCGATGTACATTTATAACCCCCTAACAGTACTTTTTAGACTTATGCTTACTTTATGGTTTCTGGTCTTTGTAGATGAAGAGGAAAAAAAAAAACATTAGCTTGATTAAAGTATGCCCTATTTAAGTATATATCTTTTGCACAAAAACAAATCAAGCTAATTGTTTTCCCAAATCCCTGACATCCCTCCAAAGTCAACAATGTTTCTTTCAACTCTGCTGCATTATGCAGGAAAAAGAATCTGCACATGTCAGAGCGTGTTGAAAGATTCCGGTTAAAGCGATTCAGACTTGATGAATTTCTTTCATAAAAGTGTCCTGTTTTAGATTCCCTGTTTTAAATGCATTTCTCCTCACCGTGATCTTAACTTTTCAGTGAATCATGAATAAACTAACCCTCATGAATGAAATTGAAAGCACAAAGTTAGGTAAAGGCTTTGTTCTCACTGTATGCTTGATCTGCGTATTTTAAAGCAAGTTAGTGTGTTTGTGTGTATTCCTCAGGGTTAAACCTCACTGCAGATAGTTTCATGGAAAAGTTGGACAATGGCGTTCACCTTTGTCAGCTGGCACAGGTGCTCCAAGAGAAAATGATCCTTGACAACAATGACAAGGTGCACAAAATAAATATTATACATACATACACACAAAAATATAAGTATATATATATATATATATATATATATATATATATATATATATATATATATATATATATATATATGAAAACTGTAGATTCACACTGAAGGCATCAAAACTATGAATTAACATGTGAAATTATATAATTTACAAAAAACTGTAAAACAACTGAAAATATGTCCCATATTCTAGGTTCTTCAAATTAGCCACCTTTTTCTTTGATTACTGCTTCGCATACTCTAGGCCTTCTCTTGATGAGCCTCAAGAGGTAGTCACTTCACAGGTGTCCCCTGTCAGGTTTAATAAGTAGGATTTCTTGCCTTGTAAATGGGGCTGGGACCATCAGTTGTGTCGTGCAGAAGTCAAGTGGATATAAAGCTGATAGTCCTACTGAATAGACTGTTAGAATTTGTATTATGGCAAGAAAAAAGGAGCCAAGTAAAGAAAAACGAGTTGCCATCTTTACTTTAAGTAATGAAATTCAGTTAGTTGGAACAATTGGCAAAACTTTGAAAGTGTCCCCAAGTGCAGTTGCAAAAACCATCAAGTGCTACAAAGAAACTGACTCACATGAGGACTGCCCCAGGAAAGAAAGACCAAGAGTCACCTCTGCTGCAGCAGATACCGTAAGTTAATCCGAGTCACCAGCCTCAGAAATAGCAGGTTAACAGCAGCTCAGATTAGAGACCCGGTCAATGCCACACAGAGTTCTAGCAGTAGACACATTCTAGAACAACTGTTAAGAGGAGACTGTGTGAATCAGGCCTTCATGCTGCTAGGAAACCACTGCTAAGGACAGGCAACAAGCAGAAGAGACTTGCTTGGGCTAAAGTACACAAGGAATGGACATTAGACCAGTGGAAATCTTTGCTTTGGTCTGAGTCCAAATTTGAGATCTTTGGTTCGTACCATTGTGTCTTTGTGCGACGCAAAAAAGGTGAACGGATGGATTCTATATGCCTGGTTCCCACCGTGAAGGATAGAGGAGGATGTGTGATGGTGTCGGGGTGCTTTTCTGGTGACACTGTTGGTGATTTATCCAAAACTGAAGGCCTACTGATCCAGCATGGCTGCCATAGCATCTTGCAGCAGCATGCTATTCCATCCGGTTTGCGTTTAGTTGGACCATCATTTTTTTTTTCAACAGGACAATGACCCAAAACACACCTCCAGGCTGTGTAAGGGCCATTTGACCAAGAGGGAGAGTGATAGGGTGCTGTGTCAGATGAGCTGGCCTCCACAATCACCGGACCTGATCCCAGTTGAGATGGTTTGGGGTGAGCTGGACCGTGGAGTAAAGGCAAAAGGACCAACAAGTAATAAGTATCATAGGTTTGTATATAGGTATCTATAATAAGAACTCCTTCAAGACTGTTGGAATACCATTTCAGATGACTATCTCTTGAAGCTCTTCAAGAGAATGCCAAGAGTGTGCAAAGAAGTAATCAAAGCAAAAGGTGACTACTTTGAAGAACCAGAATATTAGATATATTTTTTGTTGTTTCACACTTTTTGTAAAGTATATAATTTCACATGCGTTAATTCATAGTTTTGATGCCTTCAGTGTGAATCTACAATTTTCATAGTTGAAAATAAAGAAACCTTATATATATATATATAGTATAATAGTATATATATATATATATAGTTTATTACACAAATAAACCAAGAAGAAATGGAAAAGAATTTAACACTGCAGTCCTAATTTATTCCTTACAACTCATTATAGCCTTTTGTCAAAAGAGTGATTCACTGGCGTGCTGATGCTACTTCTGGATCCTTTTTTGCCCGAGACAATACTGCTAACTTCCTCTACTGGTGTCAAAAGATTGGAGTTGATGAAGCATACCTTTTTGAGTCTGAGGATTTGGGTGAGTTACCCTGGATTTTTGTTTCACCTCAAACATGACATGTTCCTCCCTTTGCAATGAAAAAAAAAAAACCTCTCATGTAGCTCCTTTGTTTCCTGTGTTTCATAGCTGGGTGAACAGAATAATCCAGGTGTGCCTGACCTCGGTAACCATTACAACAATGATTGGACACACCTGGATTAATCTGTTCATCCAGTAATGTATGACAGGAAACAAAGGAGCCGCTTTAAGTCCAAGAAGTAGTGGAATTGTTCAAAGAGCCCATTGTGCATTTAATTCAAAGCAAAGGCTTTTGAACTTGGAATTGTAAAATGTGACAAGAGGTTTGATCAAATTTTGTTTTAGAGATCCAATGCTGTTATTTTTGGTCTGGTTTGTTAACTACTTTCTAAGAATATTATCTGAAAGAATTGGTATAGAATGTCATCTATATGTTTTGCTGTTCAGATCTAATGTTATATCAAGAACCTAGATTTGTATGAGTTATTTTGCTTTTTACTTTAAAACTTTTAAATAATGTTTGAATACAAATACTTAAATTGGCCATTTATGATTTGAAGATAATAAGTACCAAGTACAGTTGGAGTTTTCAAAACAATTGAAGCCTTTAAAATATAATTTTGTGTTTACCCAAAAAATTCATAAGAGACAGTATGGAGGATATTAAGGTCTGTCACTAGATTAAATTTTACTTTATTAATACATTTGTATTTCTACTGGTGTTCTACTGGTTTACTTTGTATTGAATGTTTTCTATGTTGCCTGATTTACTGAGTACGATCCCTTAGTTTCTCAGCTTCATGGACTATATAGCTAACTCAGGCATGTTTAGTATTCAGGTAATCAAACACTGTTTTCAAACAATGTGTTGCACTTAGTTTTCTAAGTCTGTGTTTTATAACCAGCTTGTTTTCTTTAGTCCATTTACTACTAAAATCAGCTATAATCATGCACAGCCAGTCATCTCTGTGTATGAGTTTACAACAATAGTTTTAACATCTCAGGATTTTGTGATGTAAGAAAAAAATCATGAGTGTTCTGTCTAATTAAACTGAAAAAACTGCAAAAACCTAGATGTATAAAGGTGTAAAACTCATAAAAGTAACACTGTTTTAGAGTATATATTGATTTGATTTCAAACTTGGACTTAATGACTTAAAACATGTCATCAAGAATCCTGTAAACTAGTGCTAGTTTTCTACATGGCAACAATCTTTCTCTTATGTCTGGACAAGCGAGCTGGGCTGAAAGAAACAGCTATTTTCTTTTAAAAAAAAAAAATCAATAAAGCATGACCATAGCTCATTATATCTGTTAAGTTAATGTTTTATGAAACCAAACCTGAACTTTTCTCAGTAATTTAAAAAACAAACGCTACACATCATCAAAAGGACACCATGCGTGCAGTAAAATGGAAGGGAGAAGATATTTTTGTTCTCCAGCACCACAGTAAGTTTAACCAAAACAATGGCTAGACAGGCTAAACAAAGATTAACATATACTAATAAAACAAATATAAACAGTCTTTTACATCTTAACCAACAACAAACTTAATGAATTACAGACAAGTGTAGTTTAGTCTTTTCAGGCTTACTTTTCTCTGCACGCCTCCAACTCAGGCATGTCCAAGCAAAGCCAGAGATGCGTGATAATGATAATATGCAGGTAAATCCTTCCAGACAATATGTGACAGGAAGCATGCTAGGCTTTACACCTGCTTAAAAAAAAGCATCTTCCCTTGATCGAAGCATCATCTTCTTTTCTAATGTATTCCGCTAATTAGTCATCCCAACAATTTCTATTTTGATTAAATATTTTGTTTCAGTTAAATCTAAGTGACCTAAATAATCTTTTCTTTTTTTTTTTTTACTGAAGAGAAGATATTGGGATACAGTTTCTTTTATCTTTAGTTAATCTTTAAAGCCCCTGTGCCCTCATCTTAAGGATCCCTAAGGAATTACTGCTCACCTTTAAGGATAGGAAAGCACAATGAAAGAGGATATTCCCTGTCTCTGGCCCTTCAGCTGGAGCTGCCATCTCCTTTTGTGAAAAACGGATGTTTATCTCCAGAAACCTATTTTCTTTCAGAAGGATCACATTTCCATGCTCTTTTTTTTTTTTTTCATTGTCATGTCTAAATGAAGTTCTCCACAAGCAACCTCGGAAGGTGTGTCTATGCCTCTTGGAGCTGGGACGGATTGCAGCCAGGTAAACTAAACTTGGCACAAGATTTACATTTGCTCTTCTGGTACTCTTGTTCAGAAAGTTGGGACAAAAAGGTGAATTGTGGCTTTACATTATAAAAAGATATAAGATTATTTCTTGATTATTAAAATATTAGAGATTATTAGGTGTGAAAAAAGCCTTTAGAATGCTTGAATTGTTTGGAGGACTTAATAATAATCTAAAGACAACCAATCTAAGTATTGATTAAACAATCCATCTTTTATGTTTTCTCATCACTTTTACTTTAAATTTTTTGTGTTTCATTGTAATCAGCAACACATATTCTAAATCTTTTACCCAAGCAGTGTTTCAATGTTTTACTTAGTCATGATTGGAAATCATTGAACAGTTAGATTTTATGTTCGTTCTTAAATATTGATTTATCTTTTATCCTACGCCCAGGTATGGAGTGGAGCCGTCAGGGCTAGTGAAGCTGGAAAAAGAGAGAGAAAGAGAGGGGGCTGAGAGCTTATCTCCGTCATCTCCTCTCTACTTCTTATATCCTACATCATTGTACTCACAGCCAACATCCTCCTTACCCCAAGACCCCTCCCTTCCTCCTTCACCTGCCCCCCTCACTTCGAACACAACCTCTCTGCCTGAACCTCTTTCTGACTGCGTTACCTCTGATCTTCCATCAGCCACCACAGACCCTCTACCTACATGCTTGCCCCCTCCCCAGCCCTCCCTCCCAGTCTCTAACCTTTGTACAAGCACAGCCTCAACACAACCCTCTTTGTTGTCTTCATCCTGCACCACTGAAACATCTGCTTCAGCTCTGCTGTCAGCAAACCTAACAGACCAAACCCTGGGATCCTCTGCTGAAGTCTGCCCTGACACAGAAAACAAACAGAATCCAGCAGCCTGCAAATCTACCATCCCCTCCCAACAACCCACACAAACTGCTCGCTCTTCCAACAAGTCCCGAAAACCGAGGAGCATGAGCACAAGCACTTTGGATGATATGGTATGCTTTTAACTTCCAGTCAAGTAAGCTTTGTTTTGGCCTAATTCATTATGGTCCATATCCTAAAATGCCATTATTATTTTTTGTACCCATTAGGTGAAGAGCATTATTGAAAATCCTCCCTGCAGCTGTCCCACCAGGTTTCCTGTTGAGAAGCAGCCGAAAGGCTGCTACCGTGTTGGGGAAAAGGTTCTGTATTTACGGGTAAGAATCCCGCTGACTTAGTCTAAGAAAGATTCATGTTACACAAATAAACCAAATATGAGCAACCTTCAACTGGCTTTAACATTTTAGACCATATCCATTCCTAGAATTGCAGAAAATCCTTAATTAAATCAAACATTTCAAAAATGATACCTATACTGCAAAAATAACAAAATTGCGGTAGTTGAAACACAAACCAAAGTTTATTCTGACTAGGTTAGAAACAGCTCCAGATCCGACTCAGTTAAACTCAGTTTTGTTTATTTCATTCAGTTCAATTTAATTAGTTTATATTGCACCAATTCACAGCACATGTCATCTCAAGTCTCTTTACAGAGACAATTCAAACAAGTCATTCAGACCAGATTTGTTCAGAGTTTTCTATCTAAGAAAACCAGCTGATTGCATCGACTCATTGACTAAACGGCAATCCCTCAACCCGAGCATGTGTGAGAGGAAAAACTCACAACAGAAAACATTTCAGATGGTTGCTTAATAATTTGCATAATGTAAAAGCATAATCATATCAAAGCCTGTTAATGCAACAATTGTCAAGTAAACAACTAGGGCAACCAATGGAAAAGTAAGACAAAAATAACTGTAAAAGAATAGAAAGTGGTGTATCCAAGAATAGTATGTTTATCCTGGGTCGTCCCCTGGGCCTCCTCCTGGTGGCACCTGCTAGGAACACCTCAGAGGGGGCATCTGAACCCATCTTAACCAACTCAGCTCAATGTGGAAGAGCAGGGGCACTACTCAGAGTCCCTCCCGGATGACCACGCTCTTCACTATACCTCCACGGGAGTGCCCAGCCAATCTCTGGAGGAAGTTCATATCAGCCGTATGGTTTTTCATTCTTTTGGCATGACACAGATTTTATGACTGACCGGCAAAGGTCTTCTATCTCAGCTCTCTCATCACTACAATAGATCGGTGCACAGTTTACATCCCAGTGCCATCTACAATGATCAGTTTGAAAAATCCTCTGGTCATTTTCCCATCACTTATGAACATGAACCCAAGATACTTGAAGTCCTCCATTTGAGGCAGGAACTCACTTCTGACCTGGAGAGGACAAGTTATCCTTTTCCAGTTAAGAACTGTGGACGGGGATTTGGGGCACTGATCCTTATCCAGTCTAAGAGAGAAAATATGGAAAATCAATATTTGGATTAACTGCTGTTGTCTCGTCCTTCATAGGTTTATATTAAAGAAGAAGGATTAACAGGAGACCAATGCCCTATAGCTGAATTTAATTTCTCTTTTAACACTCTTAAAACTATAGAAATAACAAAGAAAGGCATGACTTGTCCTTAAACTGTTTAGACTTTATGAGATTTAGTTAGCAACAAGTGGATTGTGTCAGCGAGCCTGATATTCAGTCAGCATGTGACTTTCAGACTGCTTCAGTCACGCTCGACTCATATGCATCCGCATGGAGGATCAAGAAATGGGAGGCAGGGTTGCCTGGCAACCAGTGGTCAGGATCAGATTCGGCTCACAATGATTGTATTCAGGATGTAGACCCTCAGCGAACAGTACAAAAACTGGAGGAAAAACAAAAGTGGTTCTCTGAGGATGAGTATGCAGCGATGTGACCCTTGTGTGTGGTTTAAATGGCAGACCTCTTGGGGGCCTGAACCATTTGGGAGAAAAGGTTTTAAACATTAGAAGGGAGTTCTTTTCACACTCTTTTTGCATCCATCTGCACAAATAAACAGCATTTATGTAACATAAACGATTGCAGGGCATACTATCTAAGTGCATTAGCTCTTCATTTTTAGCAATAGAGGAACATTTTTCATAATATTCCTCTATCGTGAGTAATCTAAATCTACTCACAAAGGTTGCCTAGAACATTAAATGACAGTCTAACTTGTAATAATTTTGGTCACTGGCTAAAACTTCTCAATGAATAGTTTCTAAACTAGCTGTTGCTGATACGAGGAGGAAATTATCTTAAATGTAACATTTTCATTTTTAGTTTTGCTGCTCCTTTTAAAGATGGATGCACATCTTTACATCAAGAAAAGCCTTTGCTAAGTCAAAGCTATAAGGCAGCAAATGTCTGAACACCAGTAAGATGACCGAGATATTATAACCAAAGCATGTCAAAAGACTTTAACATTTAGTATACTAAACATGATTTGTTTTATTGCAGCATTTGAAAGATTGGTCTACGGCTCACCTTCTTTGTTTTTCCTGTTGCACACATCATTTTTTTATTTACAGCATGTAAACATACTGTGTCCAGTTGTCAGTGTTTTGTCATAATTACCAGTTCAGACAACAACTTTATTTTCTAATTTCCCTTTTGCTGTCAAGCGACCACATCTCAGTCGTCTAAGCAGAGCAACACGGCCCATTGACCCTCATGTCATTTATTACCTTAAAGCCAACAGATTTCTGTGCATGAACAGGGAAACATGCCATACACCTCAATTAGCATACACCGTGATAACCTCTGTGCAGCTTCTCGGAAAGCACTTGGTGTGTGCAGACCTTTTTAAAGAGCAGATACTATTGATTACCGAGGCAAAGTCATTAGCAAGGGGCTTTAATCAGACAGCTTGTTAATGAGCGGTGGAGCATGACTGCCCCTCCTCATGTGTAAACTTCACAACCAGCCCCTCCTGCCCTCCTCCACCCCCCATTCCCTCTGGAGACTATTCAATCATGCTAGCTGTGGAGTGCTTTGCCATTCTTTAGGGTTGAAAAAGAGGAAGGCTTTCCTTTCTTTCTGAAACCAATTAGGTTTTCCTTCAGCTTTGTAGCACGGATACACACTGATGGGGTCCATAGAAAGGAAATCCTTTTAAACAGTCCTGGATCATCATGCAAACGCATTTCTGTTATTCATTTTGTAGATATCTTATTCTAAAGATGATGTATCTGCACAAAATAATAAAAGGAAGAAACTATATCTTCTTTCATGGTTTTATTATTCTATTTGTAAACCAATTTATAGTTTCCCATTTAACATTAACAAAATGAATTAGTTGATCCTGTAACACATGTTGACTTCTGAGACTAAAGCTGATGGAGAATATTGGAGATAATTAACCAAAAAGGAAGGTAACGGTGTACAAAATTTAGGTCTTAAATTTATTGTGCCAAATAACATATGAACATTTATTGAATATATAAATTTCCCATTGATTCTACATCTAAACTTTGACAAAAGAAGATACACATTGGGGTAAAATAGGCTATAGTTGGTGTAAATCGATCGTTGGACAATGTAAACACTTGAAGCGCATTAAGTTGCTGTTGTCAAGTAAAATCCTGAGCTTATATCCATCTTATATTAACTGCTTTAGATGTAATGATAATATTATTAAAGTTGAACTGAGACAATTAGCCCTAAACGATGTTTGTGCAGGAAATACCACAGAGTGTCAAAGTACAATGATTCTTTAAGAGTTATTACAACAACAATCCTCAGGAGGATTTTCTCCACACACAAAATACTGGTGCCTTTCAGACTAAACAGGCATCTTAGACAAAGGCTAATTCATCCTAAGAACAACACCTGAAATGTGTATGCAGAGCAAACCAAAACCATATCCAAAGTTGCATGGCCCAACACATGACTCAGGAGTACACCTAAACTTCAAGGATATGAGACACTTTTTGAAGACAAATATATCTATATTTAGAAAGAAATATCAGATATCTTGAGATGGGGTAAGGGAGCCTCTTACTGTACATCAAACAAGACACAGTGTTTCAAATAGAGGAGGTTGCATCAGATTCCTGCTCTCTAAAACCTGTATTTAAGCTATAAATTTGATGCGATTCCAGATTCACAGCGCAGTTTAAATATTCTTTTAAGGCTTCCTTTTTCTTTTCTGTTTCATTCTGTACTGTAAATTCTAGAAGTACTTCCTAAATATCACCCAATGTGGAGGTGGCTAAAGTCTGCCTCCTATTGGCCAGTCTTTGTCCCTGTCCTGACTAATCTCATGCATATTCGAGCAGAAGAGGAGAGAAAGAATCAATGGACCAGGCTGGGAGGAGGACACATGGGAATTCTGACAGTGGTGTATGGGCAACATACCTAACACTGTGTTTAGAGAAAAAAAATAAGGGGGGGGGGCTCCAAAGGGACACATATATAAACAGGTCAGTGCACAAAAAGGACTTGTATATACATTTTTGCTAAAATAGAGAATACAGTAATAGGCTTAAAATGCAGAAACATAAACACCACCTTTTTTTTCCCCTTAACAAATGAAATAGCAGTAAAATTGAAAAAAAAAAAAACAAAAAAAAAAAACACTGCTTGGAAAAAAGATGGCCGGATTTAGATTCTTTTTTTTCATGATGTCTGGTGGGAGGTTTATCCAGACTTGACCCCTGTCAACCTTAACATTTTAATCGGCAAGATGACAGCTGAGCCAAACCTTGTCTGGACTTTCCTTTGAAGCTGCTCCAGTGGTCTGCCTCTTTGCGCATGTCTGTGCTTGTAGCATTGATCCCCCCCTTCCGACTGTCAGTGTGACATGTTAAACACACGTCTGCACATTAGAGGAGCAGATCTGCTTGTATTATCACAATCTTAATGGTTCCGTAATGAAGGGTTTATTGGCGATAGGGGCGGGCAGGAGGAGGAGGGGATGACAGTGGTAGAAAATTGATGGTTTTGCTAGGTCTCTGGAGAGATAAAGGTCTGTGCTGAAGTCATTTACATTTCTTCTTAATTTCCAAGGTTTCACATTGATAATCAACTCAATAGATTGTATTTTGATTAAGATTGAACCAAACGTATTGACACTATAACGAAGATATAGACTGACCATGTAGTGGTCCTTATTTTTTGTAGTGCCTTTTATGCTTTGTATTACTAATTTATACATGTCTGTGCAAGTGTGTGTTTGTGTGTGTGTGTGTGTGTG